CCCCCCCCCTGTTATATGTACTCTGATAACACTACACACAGCAGTTAACTTACACATGATTGTGTCCACCAAACAGGATGTAAAACATACTGTTGCATATAATTGCGGAAGTTATAATTATCAATGAATAGCATTCTTGTACAAGCGATCAGACCAACGGAGATGATATAAAATATAACCCAAACATACCGGCGTACATCAAGCGTTATGTAGCATTCCAGAAATAAAGCGACAAACAAACAAATAAACAAATACAAACAACACGTACACATATACATATAATAAGCATTAGTATGAAAAAAACCAGAATAAATCAGAAAATTGTATACGTCTTAGTGCGGTAAATACTCACCACCACCTCGAGCGGCTATATATTATAATAAAGTGATATAAGTTAAATTGAACGCTTGAGCGTTTCTTGCTTTTAATCCTTAAATATATGGTCTCGGAAAATATTTACTTAGCTCGCTGTCTACGCTACTACGAGTAGTCATAAATTATTGATCAAAGTTTTGAAAATTAATTCAGGCAGTAGTCGTTGACATTTACTGGAATTATACGATCCTCCTTCTCGTATATGATCTTGTGAGGATACGAACAGGGCCAAATTAATTCAAAATTTTAAGTTAATCGAGAACGCATAGACGTTATGGAATTTTTCCATTTTTTTTTTTTTTTTTTTTTTTTTTTTTTTTTGGATGTTACAAAAGTAGTAACAAGTCTAATGTACGTACTCTCCATCCTTTGACGACTGGTATAAAATTTAATAAGAAACGCTGCCAAACAAGTTTTAAAGATTTGCAACAACAAATACTTAAACAGGATGTGCCGGTAAAGTTGACAGTTGCCAGCACATGCGTTTACACAGACAAATGAATAAACATTTTTATACGCTTTCAATGCATGTATGCATTGTCGGATTGAAAGCTTCCGTGGCAAACAAGAACCTATCTTAACATATTTTAATGCGCTTGCATGTGCATGCCTCTATATATATATATATAAATATGGTGCGGTTTCAATGTGTGATTGCACTTATTATGTGTTATAGCTATACATGCAATTGTAATTTTATTAGAATTATTAAACGAATCGAGTTATTGCCGTTGCATTGAACTCCCTTCTTAAGGATAATACGCTTCTGCTGACTTCTTCTATTTCTCATGGGTAAGAGAGGGAGTGCCAAGCCAAGAATGGAGATTCAGTTGAAAAATCGAGAAAGTGAAAAAATACTCATCACAAAAGGAAAAATCAGTTGGCAATTTTCCCCTAAAAGGAAGCCGTTTCGACCTCTCACGGTCTTACGATAAAGGAAAATATTCTTTCGGCTTTCAATACGTTACGATCGTAAAAAAAAAAAAA